ACCTCAAAAAAAATGCGGTCTGCAAAGGGTAGACCTCATTTATGACACAGACACATACATTAATTGCAACCACAAAAAAAAAAACAAACAAAGTCTAAACCTACGGAAACGCTCTCGAACCGAGAAGCTTTTGCTGTTCTTATTCCACTTCGAAAAGATACTAACTTAATCTTCGGAGGCGGAACTCCCACCCCCCATCCGGAGTCTCCGTTACTTGTGCAGGTACAGGCGCAAGAAGGAAGTCGGCTAGGTGCAGGTACAGGCGTAAGAAGGAAGTCTGCTAGGAAATTGTAACTCTCCCGAAGGACACAGAAAACCCCCAAACAGCTGCTAGCCATGGACTAGCCTCGGCAGCAGGCCCAGCAGCCATGCATGTGCGTTGGCCGTGCATGCTGGCCGAGCTAGCTAGCTAGCAGTATGGCCTTGCGATCGATGCTGTCTTGGGCGAGCTAGCAGCGCTAGCATCAGCCTGCAAGCATGCGAGCAGGCCTAGCAGCAGCCTGCTAGCTCGCGTGGGCTTGTGGCATGCTAACAGGCCCAGCCGAGGGCAAGGCCACCAACTAGGCGAGCCTTGAAGCCCAAGGCATGGGGCCGGTCAGTTCTTGGTTGACCATGGTGAGTAGGCGGTTTGCTTGCTCTCCAAGGGAAGGGGTTTGTGGTCCTTACTTAACCCCTCCCTTGCATTGCCACTTGTCATTTTCTTATTTTTTATGCTATTTAATTTAATTTAGAATTAAATTAATTACTTACTTTTCACACTTATCATTTCTCCTACATGGGAAAATGATTAAAGTTTTTAGGAACATTTCCCTATAAATACCCTCCTTGGGTAATGGGATTATTCACTTGAGTTAAACTCAAAGGTAACTCCCAAGACAGTGAGAAAGCCTTAAGTTCGTAATACTCTAGTTTTATTTGGTCTAGCCTTGTCTAAGCTACAAGGAGGGCTTGCATTTGCGGGTCTCAAGGTTTTCTGTGTTCGTGCTCGTGGATCGAGTGAAGCACGCATCAAGGGTGAGCTAGACTTATCCTTACTTTCTCTCTCTTTCCTTTATGAGTTTATGCTTTCATTAATTGCATGTTATGTTGTTTAGTTTAATTATCATGCGATCCTTTTGCGGGTTTTGTGTCCGCGCGGTATCGGACACCGCAAACCCAACAATTGGGCACTTATTGCACTTAAGGAACACTAATCATTTGTTCAGCTTTTGTTTACTATCATTAGTGATGGGTTATATAGTGCATGGAAATGCTTGCTAATTAGAGCATTAAGCCTAATTATAGTGCGATTTTAACTTCATGGGTGACAAGTTAGAATGCGCACATGGCCCATTCTTCTGGTTGCCGCGTGTCCAACTTTAATTAGTCTAACTAGGCTGAGTTGCTTAGCCACGTGTCAGGTTCTCATTGGTCTATCCGAGAGGTTTCTTCTATGAGAAGGTGATGCATGTGGCTTCCACATAATTATCTCTGACGTATTCAATGGCACAATCGAAACGGTGCTTTTCTGAAAATAGTAACCTCTCGTAAATCGTAACTTCCGCCATTTTATCCCTTTAAATACTCCCTTTTCACATTCTTTTCCTTATACTTTTCTTTTTTGTCTCACAAATGGACAAGGAAACTCTAGTGGGTAAAAACTTTTAGGAGAGTAATTTCATTGGTTCTGGTACGAATATTTTTTACCAAGGTCAGTCTTTAGTAAGACGACAAAGATCGTTCTCCCCTATCTTAAACCGCCTACTTATTTCACTTCTTCTATGGAGTGTGAGTCGGCATTTGATTTTCATTTTAGTCAATTAGATGGGATATGTTTTCCCCTTCCCTCATCATAGGTGGAAAAAGAGACTCTGGAATCCTAGGCGGTTATTTATGAAGGAACGTTATCGGCTTTCTGTCATTTTTTCTTTTCCACTTTGGACTAATGTCCCCTTCCCAAAGTCTGTACCCGAGTTTTTCATGGCTAGCCTACGGTGCTAGAGGCAGTGGAGGTGACAATTGGAGCCGGAAGAACAAGTCGAAATTAACCTCCATAGTTCTTCCAATTGTCGCCGTTATCCTAAGTGTCCACCTGTGCCGTTCGTTACTGGCTAATAGTTTTTAGAGCCTTCTTGACCCTCTTGAACTTGAGATCCGTCAATTTCAAGTAGTCATGAAGAACGTTAATCAACTCACTGCAGCCAAGTTTCTTCAAAGATAGTCGGTCGACACAATACAACCAAGTTCTCTTGAAGATAGAAGATTGACATAATAATTTGCAACCTTATAGGCTAGCCGGAAATAGCTAATGGTAATCTTGTGGTTTCATATGGAATGTACCTTGGAATGTTTATTTAATAAAGCGGTTGTCAATATTTCTAGATCGACACTTTTAATTTAATATAGTCTTTCATTCTGCTCTTTATTGATAGTTGTTTGGCTTATTATCCTTGTTTGGTCTTTAGTCGGTCTTGCAAAAGAGATTGATTAATTGAGGAAAATCTTTTATACTACTTTTAGCATGACGATTTCCTTGGTTAATCAATCATATCCATAATTACCCCTAAATTGAATGAAGGCCAAGCAAGACTATTTGATATATAGCCTCCTAGCCGCATGCTCACTACAATTCTGCTTATGTTTTAAACATGCTTTCCATTGGATACTAATCAACCCATCTTTTTAATTCCCTTTGTAATTGGTAAGTTGTAGCCGAGCATGTTCCATGACTGTTTCTGAGTTAATTTATAATATTTCATATTTTTAGAGTATTTATATGATATAAAAGTACGTATTTTAATTGTATAAGTACGAGTAGTAAGTATGCAACACTTACCAAATGCGGTTGTGTTTTAGTAAGTGTTGCACTTTCTTTTTTAGCAAAAAGCTACATTTTAATATTAGGAAAATTTAACAACAACCAACCTTTGCTCCATTCTCCTAAAATGGACTAACCTTTAAATCTTCCCAAAATAAACACAAGTTTGTTTTTTTTTTCTCCCATAACAAACCCAAATGACTTGTGACTTGAACAATCAGTCATTTCATTTTTCTTTTTTTTCATTTAATTATCTTTTTAAATCAAAAAATTAACAAAATTTAAATAAAAAAAAAACTCAAACCTCCTTGTTTTTCTCGCCATCTCCAAACCGCAACTTAGACCTCCTTGCTTTTCTCGCCCCCGACCGCCAATCCCCTTCCCTTCCTACCTGCTACATTCAATGTCCTTCACTCACGCTCACCACTGAGGGTGGTTATTGGGCAGGTCGGTGCGGGTCGATGCAGGTCATTAGCGGGGCGGGTCGGTTGTGGGTCATGATGAATATTTCGCGGGTCAGGGTCGGGTCAAGGTCGAAGTAAAAGTGAAACGGGCCATTAATGGGCCATTAACTTCTACATTCTGCTTTGACCTAGGACATTGTTTAGGGTTTAAAAATTCTAGTTTCTTGATGCAACCTAGTTCAAACAGCAGAGTTTTCAACACACTACCAATTAGAAACAACCACAAAATCACAACTATGAATAAATTCATCGGTGCAAATAGCAAGTGTACATGACTTTTAAAGATACGAAGTTCAATTTCAAAACTTGAGGCAACAACAATAAACTCGAAAGATAACATAAAAGTTGAAACTACAGTAAAAAAGGGTTCTGGTTTTGTTTGATCACTACTCAAAACAAAGGAGCTAACACAGCTACTCTTTCTCATGTAGATGCAGTAGCTTTAGCCAGGTTGACGGTTGGATAGAGGTCCATGGCATCGAAGAAGTTACAAGGTAAGAAAATAGAGAACATCATATAAAACCCCAAAAGGCTGCATCAGCATTACTAACTGAGAGCTGAGGAGTGAGGACTGCCACCAAGTACAGCAAAAACAGAATTTACAGAAAGTAAGCAAACTAAACATAAGAACGTCCCTGAAACAATAGTAATGCTTCTAAGCTCATCAAAGCTAAGATCATCGACTACATCAAACCAGACTACAGCTTGTCTGAAATCCTTTTAAGTATAATGTATATCTAAGGGCAACTTTAGCCATATACATTCATATTTAATGTTTGTAGCAGTTCGTAGCAGGGAGAGCATACGTAGCAGGGAAGGGAAGAAACCACTAGAGAACAGAAGCAGCCATCAGCAGAACCAGCAAGGCTTATGTACAAAACCAGCAACATTGCCAAAAATAAGAGTATATATAGGCAATACAGCATAACAGAACAACGGTTATTGGCATCCTTTCCAGCAAAATCATTATCAGGGGTCAAGAATAGCATGCAGTGGCACTAAAAACAGAAATATAAGTAGAGAAATGAACAGGAGAATATTACCTAGTAGAAAGGGTCTGCATCATCATCCTCTTCTTCTTCAATGATTTCATCTTAAAGTTCACTAGCAACCTCTACTTGATTGTTTTCACAATGCCAATCTGGCATACATACTAAAGCTTGAATTGTTTTTGGCTTTAATGAACTTCGCGATGCCAAAACAGTCTTTCCTTTAATACTAAAAGCAGACTCCGAAGCTACATTATTTACAGGTATAGTCAACAAATCTCATGCCATCTTAGATACCACAAGATACCTAACAGAACTTTGATGCCAAAACTCCAAAATATCTAATTGTAAATTGAGATCTAAAGCATCATCATCTAGGTATATCTCAAGTTGTGACTTTCCTACTTGAGATTTTGCACTAGTACCGACCAAATGGTCATAATCATCAAAGTAGTTTCTAGCTCCGGAAGTACTAGGAGGAGAAGGAGCAACTACACTAGGTGAACTACTAGCATATTGCAACTTATAGTCCTCAAACATTGACTTCATAGTTCCCAACACAAGTTAATTCGTCTTGAGACCTCTACACTTCCATATAACTTACTTAAAACAATATTTTACAAATTTCACTTTGTACCTCGGATCAAGAATGGCGGCACATGACAAGTACAAATTGTAATCCGACCAATACTTATCAAATTTTTCAAGAATTGGTTTCACCATTTCCTTTAAATAATCATAAGGACCTTTCTATGCCTCAAGCAAATGGCGATGCACCATCCATGCACCTTTAAAATACACATTAGAAGTAGGATAATTCACTGCCGAAAACATACAAGTAACCTCATAAAACAACTCCAATAAATTGTGAATCACGCTTACTTTTTCCCACTCATCCTCTAAAGGAATATATGATTGAAATGAAGCATGACTAGATATCAAGTGAAGAAAAGCATCTTTGAAGTAAAGATAAGTGCCAAGCATTTTATACGTGGAATTCCAACGAACATGCATATCAAGGTTCAATTTCCTTTTTACATTAAGGTGAAATATCTTCTCTACACAATCATAGAATTCTTCACTTCTATGAGAAGATTTGATGATCAACTTTATAAATGAACGAATTTTATCCAAAATTCCACTAATACAAGTCAATCCTTTTTGCACAATAAGATTAATAATATGGGCACAACACCGCACATGAAACAATGTCTCACCACAACTTAACCCTCCTCTAGGAACAAGACGTCTCTTCAAACAAGATATCATTGCATCATTATAAGTTGCATTATCAACAGTGATAGAGAGTATCCTATCATCTAATTTCCATTGGCAAAGAAACATACAAATCTCATTAGCAATACTTACCCCATCATATGGAGGAGCCAAGGCCCTAAACCTAAGAATTTTTTTACGAAGTTTCCAAGAATCATCAACAAAGTGAGAAGTGACACGAATGAAATGTTGTCTAAGTATGATTTGATTTCCAATTATCGGTTGTTAAACAAATTCTACCCGAAACATTAGACAACAAATCTTTCAATTTATCCCTCTCCAATACATAAGCCTTCAATAAATCTCTCTTTGTGGTTGCACGGCCAAATGGTTTAAACTTAGGGGTAGCTCTTTTCATCATTCTCCTAAATCCTTGTTCTTCAACCATAGTGAATGAATGACCTCCCTCAACATTGAAATTAAGAATCTCTTTTCGAAGTTCATTCATGTCAAAAAAAATATTTTCTTCATCACTATCTTCCTCAAATGTAAGTCCTAGAGGCCTATTTGCACAACTCTCTAAATGACGCTTCAAATGAGATGTACCACTATCACGATGTATAGATAAAATAGAATTACAATGTACACATGTAACAGTTCTCTCACCTTGAACATTCTTCCCTTCAATAAGCTCTCTCCAAATTTTAGACCTCTTCTTTCTCTTTCGTTGCGGAGTGATGTATTCATTATATCCATCATCACGTTCCGTAGAAGTAGTAGTAGTATTATCATCATCCATATTAAGGAACACACTGCACAATTGCAAGCTTAGAAAGATTACCAACAGTTAATGGGAGTTTTTACAAAGCTAAGCTCTTATCACAACTACACTGAACCTTAACAGTCAACTCATAGGTCCTCTTTTTAACTCCCTATCCTTTCTCACAAAAATGTGCATCCCCCGCATTGCAATTAAAAGAGAGCGGGGAAAGTAATCAATAATGGCATCAAATAACAACACAATTGAACCACATTTGCTTTCTCGTTCTATAATCATGCTAGTTTAGTCAATTCTTATACTACTATAATCAAATCAAGCAAATATCAAATCAAGCAAAAAAAACTCCCAAATTATAATTAAATCATACAAAAAACACCAAAATAAATCAACCTGAGGACGAGCCTTCTTGGGACGAGACCGCCTCAACTGTTTAAGAGAATCAACATTAGCAACACCAAGAACAGGAGACTCATAAGTGGCAAAATTACCCACAATCCTTTTATCACTCTCCAAGCTTAAGTAAGCCTCAACAGTATTCGGCGCCAAAGGCGAAACCCAATGGCGAGAATTGAAAATTACTTTTCCCCCAATTTAGCAGTCTCCATTGTTTTACCATTTTCGACGAAAAAAAATAATCTAAAGTCAAGTAGTGTAAATCAAGTAGTGTAAAATCGAATATCAAAATTTTCCAATTGTAGAGGATATGCATCCAATTTGATTCGATCACATCATATCCAAATTCATCAAATTTTCATAAAAATTAAATCGAATCCGCAGGCAATCATGATTCTCTAAAACTAAAATCAAGTAAAAAAAAAAAATCAAATTTCAAGAATTATGCATATCAGTAGCTAATCAAACAATAGCAATTCTCAAAATCTTAACCAGATCTTCAATCAGATATTAAATTACAAATTTTATAATTATATCATCCTATATAACCTAAACCAGATCTTCAATCAGATATTAAAATTGAAGAACAGATTAAGAGAGAGAAAATGATGATACTTGAGAAGCTGAGAAACGACTTCAATGGAGAACTCTGAGTGCACTTCAATGGAGGAGAGAGAAAGATGGGCGGAAGAACAGAGGAGAAGAGAGAGAAAATGGAAGTAAGGGCTGAGTGGCTGACCCTTACCATTATTATTGGGCTTCTTATTTTAATTCTTAAATTATTGGGTTATAAAATAAGACCCTATAAAAGCCCTATAAAATAAGACCCTATAAAAGCCCTGTCCATTAAAAAATTAAAGGGTCAAAGCCCTTTAGTATTAGGCCCGACCCTTTTGCCATTGGTAGCCCTACCCAATAACCAGGCCTACTCACCACCAACCACACCTATCAACAACTTCAGCCAACTCCCACTACTCCTTCACCCCCCTGCTTTTCTCGCCATCACCAAACCGCACAACTTCCTTACTCCCTCTATTCTCACGCAAGCATCTGACCACCTGACCACGCCAACCTCCAGCATATCGCCACCACTTCCGACCACCGCAAGCAGCCGCGCAATCCCGACCAGCATCCACTACCGTAAATCTAGTTTTTTGGTTGTTTTTCTTTTGTGGGTTATTTATGAGGGTGGTTGGGGGTGTTTATGGAGATGGTTAGGATTTTTTTGTTGGTTTTCGTGGTGGATGTGGTGGTTTTTGAGGGTGATGGGTAGTGTAAGTAGTGTATGTGGGGTTATTTTGGGATAGCATTGAGTGGTTTCATGGAGGGTGGGGGAAAGAGAGGGGGGTCACCGGAGCCAGGGGAATGGGTTGGGCGCCGGTTGCCGTCAGGTGAGGGGTGACTGGTGGTCGTGGTGGGGAGGGAGGGCGGACAGCCAGACAGTGGCGGGAAATGGGAGGGTGTTTTTTTTTTTAGTCATCAAAATTTTAAAATAAATAATTTTTGTTAATTATCAAAAAAATTTATATATATATAAAAAAGTTAACCAATGGGGATATGACACGTGGATTGCAACCTGATATAACAGGTCAAGTGATCTGTTAGGTTCACTACGGGAGAAAAAATACAGACTTGTGTTTATTTTGAGAAGATTTAAAGGTTGGTCCATTTTGGGAGAAAGAAGCAAAGGTTGGTTTGTTTTTGTTTAATATTATATCTTTCTCCTTTCATGGTCTCCACCCAAACTCACTACTATTTTTTTTTAATTATTTTTTCCTTTCACAATCGTCACTTTCCTACTATCTTTTTTTTACAATTTTTTAATACTCCAATTACCCCCAATTGCTTCTTATTTTATTTTTAATACTCCAATTACCCCCCACTTGTTTCTTATTTTATTTAAGTTAATTAGATTGCCAAAAATATGTGCCGGTTAAAGTTTAACACTTATTAAAAACACAGAGGGATTACATTTTAATATTATACATTTCTCCTGTCATGGTCCCCACCCAAACCCACTACAACTTTTTTTTATTATTTATTTCTTCTCACATTCATTACCTTTTAATAAATTATTAACCCCACTATCTTTCTTTTATAATTTTTTAATACTCCAAATCTCTAATTACCCCACATATCTCTTATTATATTTAAATTAATTAAATTGCCTAAAACTATGTGCCAGTCAAAGTATAACACTCGTTTAAACACGGAGGGAGTACATTGTATTAATCTGATCTATTAGAGATGTCGATGCAATAAAGTACTTCTCACTACTCCCTCCGTCCCAGAATAAGTAGGATATTTCACTTTTTCCACTATTCATGTATACTAACATTATAAAAACATATTTTATCATAAAATATCTTGTTCTATAGGTATTTATATAAAGTTTCATGTTTCCCCTCAAATAAATATATATATATATATATATATATATATATATATAAAGTTTCATGATATAATATTTTAAATAATGTACAATAATATTTAATTATATAAAGATAAAGTCAAATTAGTGCATCAATATGTGTGCAAAGTTGACTGTGCCAGTTATTTTGAGACATAAGGTATACTTAAAAAAAAAAAAAAAAAAAAAAAAAAAAAAAAAAAAAAAAAAAACACTTTCATATGTGGCTGGCTGGTCACACCGTGTGGCTAACCACATTTTTTTTTTTTTTTAAAGAATGGTCGACGTTACTTAGTCACGGGTTACTTGGTCAGTCAGGGGATACTTGATTACTTGGTCAGAGGTTACTCGGCCGATCATGGGTTACTCAGTTGGTCAGGAAAATTACTCGTGTGTTAGCCGGTGACACACAAATATTGCTGAGAAAAAAAAAAAATTTAACAAAATAAATAAACATAATCGTCCCTTAACTGCATTCATTGCTCTATCACTATTATTCCAGGATGACGGCATTAAATATTGGTGATTTATAGTGTTCAGTCCTTCTGTTACTGGCCAACTACCATATGCTAGTTGAAGCAAGCTGTCAACTATCACGGTTGAGCAAGTAATATCATCCATGGAGATTTACATGGTTGATGATTTACGTTACAAATCTCCACTTTTTGCTATTAAAGTATGTAATCCTTTGACTTTATTAGAAGCATTTCTGTTTCAAAGAGTCACAAGTCTTATCCCCCAATTGCTTTATCATTAATATTATTGTCGTACTAATATATTTTTGAATGACTATGATTCCAATAATATCAAGTAGCGTTGATTATTTGAAATGACAAACTAATTAGTTAAAATAACACTGATAAAAGGAATAATTAATGATGTTGAAGTTTTGTTAGCTATCACAATTAATCTTAGGGCTGGCAATTCCTAACCCGACCTGATAACCTGACCCAAAGTTATTGAGAGAAACCCAAACTCGACCTGATCCAAAACTTGAACAATCCGAATTCGACCAGATTTGACCTAAATTTCATATTTCGTAATAATATTCAGTTTTATACTATTTTTGATAGTTTCTAAACACAACCCGAATTGCCACCATCTGATTTAATAGAATAAAGTGATTTGTTCAATCAACAAAAGATTAGAAATTTAGAATAGAGAATATTGGTAATTCAACATCAGAATTGTTTTGTGCAAAAAGTGCTCCAAAGTTCCAATGCAGGGAAAATTCATGTGAATAACTATAGCTTTGATCAACTTTTTCACTGAACCTGCCTCTGTAGAGCCAATTAAAAAAAAAAAAAAAAAAAAAAAAAAAAAAATATGACCCTAGCGACAACTTTTTGTACCAAATTTTCGTCGGAGTTAATTTTTTACCCAATTGACGTTAGAGGTCATTTTTATTTACCAATCTAGTCAATTGTCCCCCGTTATAGACTACATTCAATCCGTTAAACTGTATAATCACTCTTTTTTAAAATCATTAATTTGACCAACTCATTTGTCGAGACATAACTGTTTTTAATTGTCTATTAGTAAAAATTATACCAAAATTAAAAATATAAAAATAGACATTGTTATTAATCTAATCATTTATTAGATAGTACTTCGTAACACTTATTTTATAATATTAAAAAAAAAAAAAAAAAAGTGATGGTATATGAATAGTGCAAAAGTTAAAATGATGCATTTAAAAACAAACAGGAAAAGTTTTGTTATTAATTAAATACAAAACTGCCAGTTAAACTGTATATTTGTTCAAGTTAAATACTAAATTGCCACTTGATAAATGTTGCTATGTTAACGAATGGAGAAAAACACGATATTTCACTTCCCTCGACACCATATCATCTTCCTCCATAACTGAACTTTCTTTACACTTACTGACACCATTATTCCACTCAAAAACAAAAAAATGCACAGATTCGTATCATCAGTGAAGATCACAGGACAATACATAATAGGATGGGAGTCAACTGCACGGCCGTAAGAAAGATAAATAGCCTCCTATTGAATTAGTCACGAAAAAAGTTGAAATTTTAACCATACATGGACAGCTGCAATAATGGTTTCAACTTCAACGGCTTCAATAATGGTTTCAACTCCCATTTAACTTTCATAAATGCAATACAAGTTCAATATAAATGTACACAAAATTGAGGGAAGGTTATCTTCAAGTCCTCAACCTTCACCTCATAAGCTCCACAAAGAACTCATCTCCCTTGCATACTCCCTGAGCCAAATACTGCTACTACTAGCAACACCACCAGCTTCCGAAACCAAAACTCGAAAGACAGCCGAACCCGGTATTTTACATAGCGGTTCACCTGTTTTACAGCCGAGAAAAATGGATTCAAGGTTCAAAATAAAAACAGGCTATAAAGAGGATGTGGGAGATGAACCTGTGTCTCCTACAGGACAGTACTTCAATAGCAATACCTTATCAGTTCGCGTCCTATCAATACTGGAATCTGAATATCCCATTGACGATTCCTGCGCACTATCATTACTTCAGGATCTCTTCCTTCCCATCAATCCAAGATTTTCATCCATTATGGTAATTCATAATCATGGTCTCTGTTTCTTGCTGACCACCTTGACATCAAAATATCCAGATTTTCCGAGTTTCAGACAATTATAACTAATTTTTTGAATTGATGTTGAATATAAAACAGGTATTTGATAAAACAGGTGTAAAACAATGGAAAAGGGTGGAGGTGAACATTCCAGAGCATCTTCATATTCCCAGCTTCCCAGAGGGCTTGTCATTAGAAGAATATGATGACTATTTTGACAAATATATAACTGAGATTGCTATGAAGCCATTACCAAAAGACCAGCCGTTATGGGAAGTTCACATCATTAAGTACCCGACAACCAAAGCAGCTGGAAACATCATCTTCAAGCTTCACCATGCGCTCGGTGATGGCTTCTCTCTAATGGGAGCACTTCTTTCCTGTATGAAACGAGCGGATAATCCTTCCCTTCCATTAACCTTCCCATCAGTAAAATCAAGCTCAGAAGCTAACAGTAAAGCTGCGGATGAAGTAGGCTGTTTGCCAAAAACCATTTCAGCAATCTACAATACAACCTTAGATTATGGATTGAGTGTTCTGAAGTGCAGTTTAATTGCTGATGATAGAACACCAATTAGGTCTGGGGATGAGGGCGTGGAATTCCATCCAGTACAGATCTCTACAGTAGCATTGTCCCTGGATCAAATCAGACAAATCAAAACAGCGATAGGAGTGGTAAGATTTTCTTTACTTGATTTGTAGAAGTTGTATATCTGTTTGCCTAATAATTTTTCTGAAACCGGAGAGGGGGGGGGGGGGGAGGTGGTGTTGGATGGACGTTGTGTTGTTGCAGCATATAAAACATTTAAAAGTTTCCTCAAATGCATCTGTTAATTACATTTAATTATGCACTTTAAACAATAGACAGGTATGCAGAGTACAATTTTACATAAATTAGAAACCTTTCTAATTGTATAATGATTTACACTTCCTCCGTTTTTTTAGTTGTATCACTTTGAAAATTGCAGATTACTAGGCAATTTTTGGAGATGAAAAAGATAAAGATAATAAAAAAAAATGGACCATGTGATAGGAATGCAATAGAGAGATTTTATTAACTAAAAAGGAAAGTGACGTAAATAATTTGAAATTTCCATTCTTGAAAAGTACTGCAACTAAAAAGAAACGGAGGAAGTATAAAAATCTTTCTAATGCAATCAGAACATAGTACCACAATCAATCAATAACAATATACTAAAAGACACACCAGTAATGACACGTGTCATCTACTGGTGTGTCCTTAGTTTGTTTTGTTTTTTTTTTTTTTTGGTGAATGAAATTCAATTAAACAAACAAATCTTATACAAAAATAATTCCCTAATCTTATACAATATAATTACTTAAAATGAAAAAAGATATGACATATGTTTAACACAAATATTTATATAGCTATAAAAAAATTATTAACATAATTTTAATTATTCTACATCATTTTATATCTAAAATATCTTTTGTAATCCTTTATTATAATCAAAATTTGTCAACTATATATTTAGAATGTTTATAAAAAAAACATATTATAATCATAGTTTAATGATAGTTATTGAAAATTACCGTACATGGCACGGAAACTAACCTAATAAACAATATAGGCTGGACCAAAATAGCCTAATGTAACAAGGGTAATCAAAATTTAACGAAACTCATATTAAACTTAATCATACTAGTTTACCATAGTAATAGTGCAGGAAAAAGAAAACGGCACGGCAGTAATAGAAGTTATTAAGCATAATCCATTCTAATGTTGGCATTAAGTCCAAGTAATATATCAGTATTTCAATGTTATAAGTAAACATATTTTCTGATAGTAAGTATGGAATAAGAAAACTTTTTTTATAGCGAATGCCTATCTTTTTTTTTTTTTTTTTTTTTTTTTGGTGAAGAGTGAATGCCTATCTTGAAAAGGACTAAAGATAAAATGATGCAACTCTAACACTATGAATCTACTCCTGCAGACAATAAATGATGTGATTACTGGCATAATCTTCCTTGGGACTCGATTATATATGCAATCAACAGGAAAAGGATTCAGCAATTCCGAATCAACAGCATTAGTGCTGCTCAACACTCGAAACATCAATGGTTACAAGTCTGTTGATGAAATGGTTAAAGCTGACTCAGATTCGAAATGGGGAAACCAGTTTGCATTTATGCATGTCGCATTACCTGAATTAATTAATAATTCTTCCAACCCCCTCGAATTTATCTCTGAAGCACAGAAAATCATTAAGAGGAAGAGAAATTCTTTGGCAGTTTATCTCACTGGTCAGAGCCTGGAGCTTTTAAGGAAATGCAGAGGCCCTGAGGTGCGTCTAACTTCACTATGTTAATGCTGTCTTGTTCAAATTGTTCTGTAACTATGCTAAATGCTAATGATCATATTCCTTAACAACAAAAATTCCAGTCACAGATCAAGCAATGTCTTTCTGAAAATGAAATTCAACATCAGCTTGATGACATCAAGCTGCAAAAATAGGAACTAAAAAGAGTTAAAGCTTCCATGGGTAGTCAATTTACATGTCAAAGCTTTATTCTGCTGAACACATAGAGTTACATAAGAGAGAAGCACTTTATAGACTGCTCATTAACAGCAAACAACTAGAGCAATATACAGGCAAAAGAATCCAACCATTTTTTTAGTTAAATATGTCTTCCTCCTGACAAACAGCATAACATAAGCCATTCATTAATTTGCTATAAAGTCATAGATTAAGGAAACGGAAAGATTATTTTCTATTATGTAGGTCATGCCCTAGCTTAATGCACAGTAATGCATCTCCATCATCAACATGCTCTTAATCTTTTATTAATTTCATTACAACTAACACTCATAAACTTTCACATGACATCATATTTATGAAAAACTCCACTTAAAACATATCATTACCCTAACATTTTGTCATGCTATAAAATCAAGAACGCTCTAAAAATCAAGCAGAAAATAGTTGACAATGTGTGAACACCTTAAATCCAAAAAGGCAATTACATTAGGTACAATGGCACAAAGGTGACTAGATTTTTCAGGAAATCAAACTAATGCAGCAATGCCTAATGATAAAAAGTATGCATTGTTATAGGCACCACTTAGGAACTTGGGCAGTCTGCATAAGATTCTTTAGTTTTTATCTGCTGCTCCCCCCACCCCACCCCTTCTCCCTCCCTAATCATATTATAATGACGTGTTTCCATTTCCAGCCTATCAAATTTGAACTACACTGAAAGAATTATTTTAAAGGTGTGACCATTTTTCTTTTCAGGCAGCAGCTGGATTTATCCATAGTACACTGCAGAAATCAACCATGACAATCTCAAATATGATTGGTCCAATTGAAAAAATGGCCTTAGCAAATCAACCATGCAAAGGCATGTATTTCATGGTCGTTAGTGTTCCTCAGGTAAGCTACACAGAGAAAGAGGGGAAACAGAATGCCGGATTCATATTTTGTGCTACTGGATTTCAGAAAAACTGATATAACAAAGCATAGAAAATAACACACTGGAAACAATTCTAATTCTATTTAGAGAATCTTACGCAACTGATTGTGCTAGCCGCAGGAAGGGGTGGGGAGGGGGGGGGGGTTCATAACTGCACTATACTGAGTACAACGCATCACATTCACTCTCTTTCCAAGAAGCTTAAACAAGCAATAAATTTTATACCTTAATATGCATTTTCCATTTCACTTCCAGCGTCGCAGCTAATTAGGGTCCTTCCACGCCACCTGTAAAAAGACCCTTCAATTTCCATAGTATATCAGTAAAAATCGTCTAAGGTGCTGGAATAACCCACATCACAATGATCATGTATCACACAAAGTAGTACAACTGTTTCAGTTGGAATCAGACAGACAAATTATTTCCTTAATATCAAAGCTACCTAGAGTTCCCATTATCATTACACTTAAACAATAGTATATATTTATAAGATTTATTCCACTTTACCCACAAATAATACACAAATATAAAGGCACTGTAAAAAGAATTTACAAACAAATCTTGATGTTGCACTGATGATTTTACAAACTTGCAGAGCCTAACAATAACAGTTTTGAGTTACATGCGGACATTGAGGATTGCAGTAGGCGTTGAAAAAGGCTATATAGACGTGCAGAAGTTCAACTCATGCATAGAGGATGCTTTTCAGCTGATTTACAAGGCATCCGTTAAGAATCCCTAAACATGGATTGTACCGAGAAGTTAGATTTGATTGTACTCTGACAAGATGACTTTATTCTGGCAAAGGAGGATTTTATTATACTTCATCATTATTGAATAATCAGGCTGTTTTTGCGGACATTGAAGATTGCAGTGGGCGTTGGAAGGAAGATTGAATCTTTTTCATCGAAAACAGAAGCAAAAGAAAATGATAGACTGTTTCATTTTGTTAAAACTTTACTTTTTTATCATATTTTTGCATGGAATTGATTATTTCTATTATACATTCTGCATTGGTTCTCAAATGAAGAAATTTGTCAAAAATGGAAACTAAATTCACATTCATCTAGATAATTTCCGAACACACATACCAATGAAAACAGCTTGCCACACATCCATGGAGTAGGGGTGCAAATGAGCCGATACGCTTGAAAACAGCTTGCTCCACATCCATGGAGTAGGGGTGCAAATGAGCCGATACGCTCATGAACCACTTACGAACAAGCCTCAGTGCAAGGAATCAAACTACCCCCTCTCCCAACCTCTCATTACTTCTATGACAAAGGGTAAATGCAAAGCAGTAATTGGAAGTTGATAATGTATTATCACAAAAAACAGTTACAAGGATAAGCAAGGAATTAGTCAGAAGTTTGTTAAAAAGTCGAGTGAAGAGTAGGCCAGCCGGTCAAAAAGCTGTAATAAAACGAAGAGAATAGTTTTTGTGATTCTAGAAAGTTGTGCTTTCCTTTTTTTCTAGGGGAGAACTCTACCTCTGAAGAGTGGATGATAACGCCGACTATTAATTAGATAATACAAAGTCATCCTGGTTCCTGTTATATTTTTTTCCATTCATCAAATGCAGCTTATAATCTCTTAATTACTTGCTAATTACAGCTTCAATCAAAATCCAGCTTAGAGCAGCAATTGGTCAAAGCTCAGTCAATACACATTTGTTAAGTTTATAAACAACCTTGAATAAAAATTTGAATTTCATTTTTTGTTAAAAAAAAAGCCAAGCTCAGATAACTTCATGTTAGACTCGTCAACGTTTATGAGCAACCCGCTTAAGTGCGTTTGTAAGCAGACAAATGTTGGAGTATAGCTAGATTAAATAATGTTCAATCTCAGAAAATAAAAAATCAACATTTCAAATAACTCTAGTATCTATTTATATTCTAAATCAAAGGTTTCATTACACATGAATATTTGGGCAGTATGGCCCTTTTCACAAAAGTGATTCTAAAAAAACAGAACTTGAATTAAATTAGATACTTGTATAGATACTTTAGAGTATTGTATTTAAGGTAATCTAAGGGTCAGTTATTTTAGGAAATTTTGTCAAAAAAAACCATTTATAACAACTTTTTTGATGGAAAAAACCTTATAAAAAAATTTTGGCAACTAAAAACCAGATTATAATTTTTTTTTTGTTGAGGACAACCTGAGATCTCTAATCACTCAATTAACCTCTAATCTTCCCTTAATTCTTCTAATTACTCATAACTCTCACTAAACTATGTAATAATTAAGTTAATTTATAAATTAAAAAAAAAAAAAAACAAAAACAAAAACCACCCTCACCACCACCAGCTAGCCACCCTCTTCTTCTCCCCCTCCCATGGCAGCAGCCCCGGCCCCTCCCCCATCCCCAGCCGCTGTCTAGAACCCCCCACCCCCACCAAGTCGCCAACCAACCTCCACCGCTGAACCAACCCCCGCCGACCAAACTATTTAATCATTGTGAAATTGACGTTTAATGATTATCAGGAAAAAAAAAGGGAGAGAGAATTACCTCATAAACTGGTTCAGAGGAGAGAAAGCTTACCAGGCACTTCAATGGAGAATTCAGAGTACCCTTCAATGGAGAATAAAGAGAGATAGTGAACGTGGAATTTTTGGGTTAGGGTTTAGGAGGGTGGTCGCGGCGAGGGTAAAGGGGAAAGGGAGGGTGTTGGTTCAGCGGTGGAGGTTGGTCGGCGGGGGTGGGGGGTTCTAGGCAACGGCTGGGGATGGGGGAGGGGGCTGCTGCCATGGGAGGGGGAGAAGGAGAGGGTGGCTGGCTGGTGGTGGTGAGGGTGGTTTTGTTTTTTTTTTTTTTTTTAATTTATAAATTAACTTAATTATTAAATAGTCGAAATTAACTTAATTATTACATAGTTTAGTGAGAGTTATGAGTAATTAGAAGAATTAAGGGGAAATTAGAGGTTAATTGAGTGATTAAAGATCTCAAGTTGTCCTCAACAAAAAAAATTTAGGGCTTGTTTGGCATCGTTTTTTGGTTTTAGTATCTATTTTTTTGAAAACAAAAAAAACAAAAACAGGAAACAAGATAAAAAGGTGTTTCCACCTTTTTGTTGTCAGTTTTCAAAATTATCATGGATTTTAAATTGTTTGACTAATTTTTGATTCATTATATGATATATAGCATATGATTTGAAAAACAAAAAACCAAAAAACAGAAAACCACAGCGATGTCAAACAAACCCTTAAATCTGGTTTTTAGTTGCCAAAAAAATTTTATAAGGTTTTTTCCAACAAAAAAGTTGTTATAAATGGTTTTTTCCGACAAAATTTCCTTTATTTTATCAAGCTGGAGATGAATCTTAAATTAAAAAGAGCACGTTTGTGAAAAAAACACGAAGAAGCAAAACTCTACATGAGCCATGTTCAAACAAGAATTTTCAAAGCTCGTTCAAGCTTAATTTTACTTTAACAGCAATAAACCATATCAAGTTTACTCGAATTGACTATAAAATGGCTCGGCCTCATTAAGAGTAGATATGGTGTACTATTGTTTTCATTTAAGACATGCTTGAATTGGGGGTAATGTGTTAAGGAGCAGCAAAAGAAGAACCGAAGAAAAAGGTTGTGGTGGTGGATAGGATTAGCTATGGATTGTGTAAGGAGGGTAGAAATGAGGAAACTATAAGTGTAATTTTGGGGTGATAGTTAGGAGGCGTTTGCAAAAACAAAGGAAAAGGGTATTATATCAAGAAAGGGATAGGAGGGAAAAGGAAGGTAAAACCCTTACAAGTTTGATGAAAGAGAAGAAAGGGAATGGAGTCATAGATGATGATGAAAACATACCCGCCCTAGAAATATTTAGATCTAAGTGAGATTTGACATATAGTTTGATTAAAAAGAAGAAAGGGAATGGAGTAATAAATTTAAGTTTACTAGTGCATTTATTTTTGTTTGCAGTGATAGATTGTAAATGAGAGTGTTTGTGCATTCAAATTTTCATATTTATTTGGATAATTGGTATATACGTATGTCAATGTAAAGATATTATCGTTCTCTGCTTTATAATTAACGCATTGTAAGTTATTTTTTCTTGTTTTCCTGTAAATCTAGGAGCATGTCTGTCATCTGGAAGACACACTGAGGCTTTGCTTCTATTTGCTTTGACAATTAAAAGAGAGTTATTCTGGTTCATTTAACTCCCATTCCATCCGCTTCTTTGTTCTGATTTCCGGATAAGATTGTCAATTTTTCCACTAGTCTTTAGCTCTTAGAACTATTGGACAAAAATCTTCATGATCCATGGATACATTGAACAATTCAGCAGTGCTTACTATGTACAAGAGGTGAAAGTCATTCAGCTTAAAACTTAAATCAAATCCAAAATGAATTGGTAATTCAGATTGGACTATTATTCAAATCAGATTAAAATTGGACTCAAACTTCATAAATCAGATATATTAATCTGATCGGATTGAGAATGTTTGGATCCATAAATCGAACAAACTGATATAATTAAATTAATTAATTTTTTAAGATTTATAATATGTTGGTTTATTGTTTAACAAAATATATTTTGGTGATTAATTAATTTTGTAAGATTTATAATATGTTGGTTTATTGTTTAACAAAATATATTTTGCTGTTATATTTTATGACTTTTATTTAATTCTTGAGATGGTTATGTAGGTCTTTAACACTTATGTAAGGCATGTGGGTTAATGTTTAGGTTTGTAAGCATTAGTTTTCATTTCTTTAATAAAGGAAAAAAAAGGTTCATGGGTCAGTATGATAAAAATAAACAAAGAAATATAACGAGAAGCTTTTATTAATTTTGATTTTTGCATTGGATCCAAATTAGCTAGTTCTACAGCAAATTGGATCAAACTGGACTTGGTGAAATCAGGATTGGATTGAGCTCAAGTTCCAAAATGGAACTTATTTCAAATTGGATTGGACTTTTCCCATATCCAAACCAAAGCCGAACTTCGCCCCTATTAGTAATAAGCAAAGTAGTCCTTCCACTATGTCATGTCACCAAAGATTTATGTTGTCTAAAGATAGGGAATACAATAAAGAAGAGATCTTCAAGTTGTTGCCTTCCCAAGTCAGGCCCATTGCACTAAGAAAATCTTACAAGTAAATAAATTATCAAAGAGTATAGATATCAAATAAGAAGCATCTCTACAGAAATAACGCATAATTTTGCACAGTATGGATACAGGGCACTTTCGTGCTCTTTTCAGTAAAGTGTCCTTTTTTGTACCAGTCTTGAGTTTGCCTATTGTCATAAGAGCTAGGCAGCATGTTAAGAAGTAATAATCTAAGAATTTCGCATATATGTTAAGAAGCATTTCTCTCAACAAAAGATATTAGATACTCCACTCTCACCAGCACCTTACATTTTGAAATTTGTTTGGCAGTCTAAAATTCATTTAACTATAGCTATGTAGCATGCTTACAAAGTTACAAGGACATCAACAAAGAGGATGGATTCTTAAATCGAAGCACAAATATAAGGGGTACATGCAGGGGGAAAATTAATAATAACAATGCAGATAGTTGCTGTAGTTTAAAGTTTGGAATGAAAGCTACAACTCAGTAAGAGAGTTTGACAAACAAAAGAATAAAGTAATAATAAAATATTTTTCCAGCAAGTAATGCTGCAAGCTAATAAATTGTGAGGAATATGCATTACAAGGGGCACCCTGCTACAATCAATATATTCAAGACATCGCAAACCAACTTCCAATCAATATCTAATTTTATCAAATTATACTAGGTCCATTTTCACTTGTTTTACATCATTTATCCACCATCATAATTATGCTTTTATTGAGTTTCATTCTGGCCGCCAGATGCCCAGCTGAGGTGGTGGAAGGGGAGTGGGGGTCAGAGAGTGATAAATGAAACGATAAAAAAGGAATCAGCAGTGAAAATACCTGTTCCCATATGATCCTTCTAAAATTGCATCCAGCTTAAAAGACTTCTCATTTCCCACTTGCTCAATGTAGGAGACATGGTGTGAACAAAACCTGCTACGCTGAAAGCAAAAGCAAACCATAAATGTCATGGAGAAAACACTGACCATTAGACATTTATAGATCATTTTCCGAAGCAAGATATGTTGTATGACACATACTTGGTATACTTTGGAGTACATTGAATCTGTCGAATGAAGAATTTTGAATTTGAGGTCTGACTGGCGGCCAAAAAGATGAAAGGGAAACAATTAATGCTGGTAATGGAAACTGTACCATTCCCATAATTTGTTAAAGTTGAGGTCAAGTTTCAAATTGATGATTTGACAGACAACTCAAAGCCATATATATCTCCTCTGTTTCAGGATGCAAATAATCACCAGCTATAAACTCATAATTAATGCCATGCAATTTGATCAAGCTACAAGCAGCATTCTTCGTGGGCCTTCTATTCCTTATGATACTCCGTATCTTGGCAACATCATCCCACATATCAGATGTGGCATAAATATCCACCATTACTGAGTAGAGACCGCCATCTTCAGGGTTCAACTTCTGCACATGTTTAGCTGCTTCCTCAGCAATGTCAACCATACCATGTTTTCTGCAACCAGCCAGCAAAGCTCCCCAGGTATAGATATCACCTTGAATCGGCATGTGTTCTATCATATCTAATGCTTCTCCAATTAAACCAGCACGTCCAAACAAATCAGCCATGCATCCATAGTGCTTCAATTCTCGGTGAACACCGTAGATAGCCTCCATGTTTTGAAAAAGTTTACGTGCTTCATTTATTAGGCCTGCATGGCTGCATCCAACCAAAACTCCCAAGACGCTGACACCATCAGGTTGAACTCCTTCCTTTATCATCCTGGAGAAATAATCCAAGCATTTTCTGCCGTAGCCATGTACAGCAAGGCCCATCAACAAAGCGTTCCATGTGAACAAATTCTTGTCAGGACTTGATTCAAATATATTTATGGCATTCTCAACATAGCCACACTTGGCATACAAGTCCACCAAGCCAGTCGATAAATAGGAATCCACTCGAATCCTGTTTCGGATTAAAGAATCATGAATTGCGCTACCTTGCTCCAGATCTCCAAGTTGTGCACAGGCAGAAAGAACAGAAACCAGAGCAATGTTATCTGGACGAATACCAGACGGTGAACCAAGCAAGATATTGAAGAGATCAATGGCTTCCTGGCATTCCTTCATATGTGCATACCCAGCAATCAGAGTACCCCACGAGACTGCATCACGAATAGCCATTTTATCAAAGAGCAGACGTGCTGTCTCAATGTCTCCGGCCTTTACAAAGCCATCAATCAATGCATTATATGATATAATATCTTTATGGGTACTTTCCTCAAACAACAAGCAAGCATCACTGAGGCTGCCCAACCTAGCATAGACATGAAGTATGGAATTGAGAACGTATATGTCAGAAATGAAGCCAGATTTCACGGTAAGGGAATGAAGGGCAGCAGAAGTTGAAGGTACTCGGAGATTAGTAGAGGCTTTGATGGCAAAAGGATAAGTGTGAAAGTCAGGAGGAATCGAAAAACGAAGCATATCTTTGAAGAGTATGAGGGCTAATGCAGGTGAAGAAAAGAGGTTCTGAATTCGCATCATTGTATTGTAGCAGAAAGTGGTTGGCGATCTGATAAGATTGAACACTGATATAGCATAGTTTGTCCTATTTGAAGGAGCTAGGACACAATTTGAAGCAGCAAGGCGGGCAATTGTGCATAGAATGTTTGGAAGCAGAAAACAGGGTTGTCGAGTGAGGAAGCCTGTAGTAACAGCATGAGCATGAATTTGATGAAGCTGCGAAAAGGTTTTACAATGCCTCAATGAATTTAATATGTAGTGTTTAGCCATTTACAAGATCACTTGTTTGTTATTCCCCATTTTCCTTTCTGCATGATACAGACTATGATGATGAGTTACTCTTCACCAAAGATTAAGCACTCAAGCTCACTATGATGTCAACTTCCCACCACTGAATAACTGCTGCCAAACAGCTGCCATCTCCAATATGTAGTCTGACACAAGAATGAAACAGAAAATGCAAGCTGCATCCCTATCTTGACCCAAGCAACGGTTATTACTATCATTATGCAGCACTGGACACTTCTACGACACAGAAAAAGCAAAGTCTGGTTACATCAACGAAGACATACCTGAAACCACATTGTCCAGTATTAACAGCAAATGTAATTGGCTAGCTAGGGTAGACAGCAATTAAGAAACATGATCTCCAACTCCTCTTATGTTTACCTATTGGGTACTGAATTAATAAGTGCAGGCTACCTAATTACTAAACGAGATCCAACCAAAATAATAATAGGTGCAAACTTAAGTGCAGGCTACTTAATTACTAAACGAGATCCAACCAAAATAATAATAGGTGCAAACTTTGCAATGCTCTCTCTCTCTCTCTTCTTATTTTGGAAATTTTAATTCTTAAGAGTGTAAGTAACTGGACACGGAACTAATCTACACAGCCTACTCTATGTTGCACAACCACTCCATATTGAGCCATACTAATATACTATTAAGTTATGGATGGACATCCGTGAAAAAAGGGACATAATACACTTTCACAATAACAAGCAGGAGAAATAATCCGACCATCCTTAAACTAACAGATGACTCAGCTATGTACTTATTGTATTTAAGCAAATACCTGCAATAATCTAGTAAATTAGTTACATATTACTGACAACACAAGAACCTAGAGAGGAAATGAGTCGTGTCATACAAGGCCTTGTGCCAGTCAGATCAACAGGGGCGAATATAGCACGGCCCATAATCTACTGGCCGTTCCGCAATAGGTCACCAAGTAAAAAGGACTGGTCCAGGCATGGAACAGCCCTTGAAGGTCATGCCGAGCCCCAACATGCTGAAAGAAGCCCAGAACAAGGAGCAAGGTGAAATCTTGAGCCTGCTTCACATTTATTGGGTGTGTTGTTTTATTAGAGGCATAGAGATGCTCAACACTAAAATGCCAAGTGCTTTGAGATAATGTGACCAAAATACTAGGCCACAACAGCCACATAGGCACATACCTTCCGCATTTGCAACAAAAGCAGCCCACAACCATTACCATGATTGTGACCACATCAAGACTAATCTAAAATTATGGTTTTTAAATCTTGGCTAATGAATTTTGGTCTTCAATTATGTGTATAAAATAAAATTTTAAATGACATACATTACTTTTATAAAGACACTAATCTCAACAATAACTCTATTTAATTTGCGTTTGTACAATAATCTAGGGCATCACCTAGGAGTGACAATAACTATGTCTAGTTAAAAAAAAAAACCTAGATCGCCAGAAATTTTAGTAGTGGTGGTCTAGTGTATACGAAGACAACTTGATAAACTGAATAAACTCACTATTCTGAGAAAAGTATGCATGATTTTCCATTCTATAAACCAAATAGTGGAAAGGAACATGACTAACAATTTTAAAAAATTTCACTTACTACATCATAACAGTTATAACAGATAACTGCAAAACGCGCTAAAATGTAGCAGTATGATAGAATAAACTGATGTTTTAACAGATTTACGACATACATGTGCAGCAAGGTAATTGAATATAACAATACTAATTTCTTTTTCTCCAAAATAACAAAAATTCACAGTTTAGTCAACTTTTGCTTACAGAAGCATCGCAGACAATCAAACATATCAGTCAGAGACAATTTACAGCACATTTCGCAAAAATATTTTGAACGGAATAAGTTAAGACTAAAATTGTAAGCAACAACAGCCTCATCTCCTACTGCAGCTAATTACTTATTGCTTTTATAATCTGCTCTGTACCATTAAAAACTGGATAGAAACGGAGTGAAAATCGAAAGGACAAACCAGAATATCTGTCTTTTAATTGTCAAAGCAAATAAAAAAAATCAGTGTCTTCCAGATGACAGACATGCTCCAAGATTCACAGGAAAATAAGAACAAATAACTTATAAATTATACTGCAGTAATACATACAAATTTCCCAAAAAATGTATGAAAATTTCAATAATTGAATGCAACAATATTCTCAGTTATCATCTATGACTGTAATCAAAAACTAAATACACTAGTAAACTAACATGAACCCATTCAAATCATCACATAACATTACACCATTACATAGCTACTTTCTGAACTTATACTTAATCTCATTATTAGATAATACTTTTGTTACAAAAAATACAAAAGATGGTCCAACCCACAATATTAAATTTATGCAACCATATATTATACAGCATTGATAAATTTATGAATAAAAGAGTTTTTAACACAATAAAAATAATAATTATATTAATCAAAAAAATGCAACAAATCATCTATAACATAAAATCTTACCCAATAAATCTCCAATAGTAAGCCACTAGCAAGCTCTCTGTCTCTCACCCCAAATTGAAAGGAACCCTAAAACGCATCGTTTGAGTCCGCGGTACTCAACTTCTAACGCGCGTAAAAACGAATCGTTTAATTCATTGGGCTTTTACAGGCGCATTTCCGGTTATATGTTTAGGGTTTAATCTCGGGCGTAGTATTTTAAATACAAGTCTGCTGCTTAACGAAATTCATTAAGCTTGTTTTCTTTAACGCTCTACCTAAATAAAACTTTAAAAGTATGTTAATTTTTTCTTTTTATCTTTTTTTTTTTTTTTTGTTTTTTTTTCTGTAATTTTTATGGCAGTAAATTGAAGACGATGAGAATGATTTGTTGGAGTGATTGTATCGGGGTTTTTTATATGTCCTACAGGAGAGTTACAACATCAATACTGGACTCTTGACGTCTGTACCTGCAAAACAACGGAGACTCCGGGGGTGGGAGCTCCGCCTCCGACGATCAAGTTAGAACATGTTCGGATGTAAAAAGTGCGGAATGTAAAGGGGGGATCAGGCTCCACTTAGGAGAGGAGTGATCATCAGACAGCCTCAAAATCCGAGCCTTAGCTCTCTGGTTGGACTTAGCTCCACTTAGGTGACACGTGGCGGACTCTGGTTAGTCCACGTGGTGACAGAGTTCAATTGGTCCACGTGGCGAGGTTAAATCCCCTAATCATTTGCCCCTCATAGGGGTGACGTGGCTTACCACGTGGCGCTTGTGACAGATGTCACACTCTGATTGGCCAACAATTTTTACCTTTTTTTTTTTACTGTCTCTTGAAATTCACCTCCCCCCCCTATAAATAGGGGATGTCCAAATAACTGAGAAAGGACGACTGCCGCTTGCTACCTGACCACCTGCTCTTACAGCCGCCAGATTTTTCAAGCACCTTCAACTTTTCAAATCAAAGGTAACCGCATGTATTCTCTTATACTTTCTCTTTGTTTTCCTTTTTGAAAATGGTATCCCAAAAGCACACGGTACGGCCTAGGTTAGTGATCAGCCGGTCACCGGGGACGGCTGAATCTAGAACTAGGAGTGCCGACTGCCCCTTGCTGGACCACCCTTTGCGAACTGCCCCAAGTCCGATAGTCTATGTGTCTGTGCAGGACACCATGGCCAGAACTAAAAGAACTATAAGGGTGACAAACTCAAACGGCTCCTCCTTCTATGCGCCTGTTAGTGAGATATCTAACGTGCCACCTGGCGCCCAAAGTACCCCCAGTGATTCCATCTTAGAAGAATCAAGGGAGGAAGTTCAAAATGACATTCTGGGCTCTGTTGATCAAGCCCGTCAGGTGGACGATAGGTCCGACTCCTCTAACAGCGAACCCGAAACAAGCACCTTAGGTAGGCCGTCTGATGCCTCCGAGGAGTTGCGCTCTCGACTGGAAACAGCGAGAGAGTCCCATGCTACGGAGAAGGGGGAGAACTGGGCTAAGTCGGCTGCTGGCCGGAGAGATATGTATGCCGCCTATTATTGTCATGTTCCCGCAGGCAGGCGGAAGACCATGGCTGAAAATATAGGGAGCTTTAGGGCCGACCATATTATGGGTCATGGCTATATCCTTTGCGTGCCGGATGCCGAGGACACCGTAGTCTGCCTAGAAGGGTCTAGCTACGGGGACGAATGCTTTGGGTGTTATGAGGCGGTCATTCAGGCTGGTCTTCGATTTCCCTTACATTTGGCCGTAGAGCGGATTTTGGACAGATACCAGCTGGGTGTCTGGCAACTTGCCCCCAATTCTTGGTTTAACATTCCGGGGTATGTTGTTGCCGGCTGTGAGATGATGAGTGTGGATCCAAGCTTAAAGGCTTTCGCCCATATGCACTATCTCAACAAAACCCCAGAAACAAGCGGTGTCGGCTGGTATTCTTTGTCTAGCCACAAGGGCTATATGATGACAATATGGAAGGAGAACAAGTGGAAAGACTGGAGAAACAAATTTTATATAGTCTCCTGTCCTGACAAAGTGAGAAACAAGAAGTACAACAAGTGGAATCGCAATCCACCTATCCTAACAGGCGCCACTGAAAAGCCGCCTATTCTAAGAAAAGCAAAAGAGGAGATCCTTGACCAGGGTCTCTTCAAAGTGGACATTTAGGCGAATGCCGTAATAGGGGCGAGAGAGTTCATCCCCCAAGGTTATATTCCTTGTCATGACTGGCTTTTTTACGGGGACTATTTGGCCACCTGCGGTCTTAGTGTTGAGAGGCCGAGAGGTAGTTGGCCGAATGTGTGTACAGTTTTTGTTAGACTTGGCTGTTTTTTGTACATCTTATCTAACCATTTGAAATCATTTTGCAGACAAAGCAACGGAAAGACTTCCGACCACTAAGAAGCCTACCGCCTACTACCACTCCCTTCTAGGCAAGCGATCTACGGATGAGTCGCCTGCCAAGCAGGCGT